TTCGGCTTCAGCGTTCGACACCCAGGTCCGTTCGGTTCTCTGTTATGGTGCTGAGGTCTGGGGTCCTGATAGGATTGTCTCCGTTCTGCGGCTAGGTAAAGGTGTTTTACCCGCTGGTAAGTCATATTTTGATTTGGCTTTGGAAGATGGTATGGTCCAGGTCCAGCGTGACTTCTGTTTACGTTGTGCTGGGCTCAAGCAGGTACCTTACAAGCTGTTGTACAGGGAGCTGTCTCAGTTGCCTTTGCAGTACTTTTGGTTACGCCTTGCGTTGTGTTTCTGGAATAAGATAGTCAAGTCCCGTGGGTCGGTCTATCATGACGTGTTAGTAGATGATCTCCGTCTGGCTCTTCTGTCTGATCTCAAAGTGGATTGCTGGTCGTCTAAAGTGCTCATCATTTTGCGTTGGTTGGGCCATGAGTGGCCGGCGTGTGACTCCGTTTCTCAGAAGGTAGATGTATACTCGTCTCAGTTGATTCGAGTGGGTGAGGTTCTGGAGAGGTTATCTGCGTTCCTTTTAAGTGACTGGGATCAGTTCAGCCAAGGGGGTGATCCGCGTGTGTTCCAAGGTAAAGGGGTTTCGCTTTGCAGGTATCATAACTGGATGGGCTCCCCTTCACCAGCAAGAGAGGGCTCCGATCCCACAGGCTATTTGCGTGTTTATTTGCCGGTCAACCAGTTGCGTATGGTTGCCAAATTCCGTCTTTGTTGTTGGCCTTTGGAGGTCAACAAAGGACACCATAGGCCGAGAGAGTGCCGTACGTGTCAGGTCTGTACGTCGGGTAAGGTTGAGGATGAATATCATGTGCTCATGGAGTGTGAGGCGTATACTGAGTTGCGTAATAGGTTTCTGATTAACGTTGAAGATACTGATATGCGCAAGGTATTTCTTAATACCAATCCGAGGAAAATCGCTACTTTCCTTACTGAGGTTTTTGATGAGCGTCAACAGCGTGCTCTGGAGCCTCACGGCTCGTGAGGGCACCCGCCGCGTCGGCGGCGGAAATACTGTAACCACAATGACAATGACAATTCGGCTTTTCTACGCAGCCCCCTTCTTTTGTGGAGACAGACTTGTGTTATCGTAACCCGAAAACGACAACTACGATTGCTTGCGGGGACGTGAAAATATCTTTCTTTGGGAAACTAATTATTCCACCGTCGTTCACCATTTGTAAAGTAGAGGAAAGTGCAGGGAAAACGGCATGTAGGACCCTGGGGTCGCAGGCACACCGGAGCATTTCGCTGTGGCGTTTTTAGTTTTCGACGTCTTACCTTGCTTCAACCTTGTTTATTAGCCAAGGATGCCAAGCGGGCTGCGTCGGAGGACGCCGCGGGATGGCGGGGCGCTCGGTGGTGCCAACGTTGGTGAGGGGCCGCCAGGCGGCAACCTCGTCAAGCGCGGCTCAAGTGGAATGCTGGATAGCAAGAAGACAGAAGTACAAGAAGAAGATCGTGGCAGTACATCCTACAAAGCGAGCACCAAAGAGGATGTGAAGTCCAGCAGCACACTTTCTTCGTTAAATCACGAGGATCGCTTCCGCAATTGGTTTAAGCAACAGGTCAGAGCAGTCGAAGGGTCAGCTCTAGCTTTAACCCCCTTCTATAATTTCAGCCCCTCCTGCGGAAGGATGGGAAACCTTTGCGGCTAGGATTTTTAGCGCGCTTTCGCGAAAGTGTCGAAGTATTTCGACATTTTTCCACACTAGTTACCGTGCGGAAATTCCATGTCTGTCTCCTTCATTTTCCTTCCGTTTTTTATGTTGTCCTACAAAAAGCTTTAAAGTCTCTAGCGGTCCACGCTTACATATCTTTTGTTACCTATTTCAGGTAGCGGTTTTTGACTTCGTTTCCTGGGTGGGTGAGCTCCTCCTATTGGCGCTGCCAACCCTGGCGCACAACCTCGGGCATGTTTCGGGCTGCAACCCATCATCATCAGCAGCAGGTGTTGGACAGGACCGCAGAGCGACCTGCCCAGCCGGATGTGAGCCAACTTTTGTGGCGGATGCAGAGGCGCTCGCGAGTTTCCCTTGCGATGGCTCCACCTTCGCGAAGCTGCTGCACACAATAAGGCAAGACCGGAGTTTTAACCACTTCCAAGTGTTGCTGATGTGTGGGACAGGGTGGCGGCCATATCTTCACCCGTGGTCTCCTTCCGGCAGACCCTCTGCCTTCCCCGCGGTATTTCGGGGCACCCTCATCCAGTCACCCTAGTCAACTTCTCAGTGGATCACGCAGGTTCCCCGCACCCACCACCAGCATCCATGTTGCTATTTATTTGTCTTATAATAAAAAATACTTGGGCTTTTTTATACTTACGCGCACCGGCCCTGCTCGGTGTTGTACGTGATCAGCTATACATTCTGGATGTCAACGTCGCCATCCCGTCATAACGTCATAATGTATGTGTGTGTGGGCGGGCGCATTAATGTCTCAGGTGGTTTCGGGGCCACGTCGTACACGCGGCAAACCGACGCGACTTCAGCGTGCTGGCTTACATGGCAGCGTTGTTGGCCGTCGTACTGCTGACGATGGTAAGGTATTTTGTTTTGAAAAGGCATTCGAGCCACAGCGATCCGAAATTTCCCCAAAGGACTCGCATCTATACACACAAAAACAATACGAACGGCATTGCTCAACCTGAACCTAAAAAGCGTTCGGTTGGGTCGTGTGCTTTGTGCAGCCCCATTTGCGACGCGGTGGCTTCTCCCCGAAATCATCTCCAACCCGATCAATACTGCAAATTGCCGGGGACCCACAAACGATTTAAAGATACTGTGCCGTACCGAGTGCTGATGCTGCTGATGCTGCTGGGCCACAGTTGGGCGGGAGAAGCATCTGCAAAGAGTTAATTTAAAGTAATTTTTAAACTTGCACAATTTTTATCTGCACGATGCGAATTGATTTCTACTCTTCCGGTCGCTGAAGCAACGCCTAACCAACCAACTAACCAATCAACCAACCAACTCCCACTGTGATGCATCCCACTCACTCACAGATGTCGCCAAGAACATATCTGCGGAACCGAAATTCTTTCATACTCAGCATCCGTCTGGCCATGGCGTTAGGGAACACGCTAGCAGCGGGGATCGCGCCGTACAACTGCCTAATGGGAACCACCGCGCCGTACTACATCCCACGGCACGTCACCACCCTGGCCGGCGACAAGGTTGGATTCGGGGGGATATCGGCGGCGGCGCCGCCACCGCTGGGCGGCGGTTATGATGATGTGCCGTACTGTCGCAGCGGCGACGACGGCGACGGTGGGTGCGCTCGGTTAGGCGGCGGCGGCGGCGGTGGTTTGTGGATGTCTGCCGCTGGGATGTCGCTGACTGCCGTACGGATGATGGTCAATACCGGGCTGTTGTACGTGGCCCTCAAGGCCGTCATCTGGGGACGGGTAAGCAGGCAGTGTACGGTGTGTACGACATGGTCGATTGCCGTATACTTTATTTGGGTTTTTAGGGTTTTAGGGTTCAGGTTGCAGTCTCTTGTCTGTACGCAGGTACTGTTGCCGTACCAACTACTGTACGGTTTTATAGAGTGGCTTAACGGAGTTTTGGTTGGCTACATAGTCGCACGACGTTTGTATGGCTCCCGTACAGCCGCGGCCGCGCTGGATCCAGTCCTGCTACTGCTACAGCTTTTGTCGTACTATGTCGTACCATGCCTGCTGGTCTGGCAGTTGGAGTCGGCTCAACGGTCAACCTTTCGGTGGGTGCGTGGGTGGGATGATGATTTGGTTCTTTGATGTTTTGTTAACCGGACCGCAACTCCCCGGGGTGGGGGTGGGGGTGGGGGGGTGGGGTGGGGTGGGGTGGGGGGTGGGGGGTTCGGGGATGGGGTGGGGGCAGTGCGCGCTAATAGGGGCAGCAGCGGCTTAAATCATATGAGGATACGATTCCCGCACACGGGTTACCGTTGTTAAGCTTTTGGTGTTAAAGTGATGGAAACGGCGAAACAGGCAATCCAGGCAACACATGCGTTTGTATTTGTCTCTCTTTTCTATCTTAAAAAAAATATATATATATATGTATATATGTATATAAATATATAGGAATATATAAGATGTATATAAATTATATTTATATAATATATAATACTATTTATATTATATATTCCTCCTTCCGAGACGCTTCCCTTTCGAAACCAAGAGGGATCATGCGCCCCGGTCCTTGGCGTTTTACATTCATCATCATGCTTTGAATTGTTACGGTCGCCGCACTTCAAGAACGCCTTTTGGTCAGTTCTACGTCTGGTACACTCTTGCCCTGGCAGCAGCTTCACTCGTTCGTGGTTCGTTTCCCCCCCTACTTTCCTTCTTTTACCACCTCCCGTATCACATATAAATATGTAGCAGGTCTTTGGAGGCGAGGAGGTCGGTTCTTGGGGCGGAGGCGACGGACCTAGCTCGCAGTAGTGGCGACGGCGGCTGCTCCGCAATCCTCAATACCGGCAGTGGCGGCAGATACGGTGGCGGCGGCGGCGGCGACGCAGCGGCGGCGGCGGCGGCGGCGGGTCCCCTTCTTCTCCCCTATGTTGCGATGCACCACTCTCGGCGTGAGGAACGCATGTACGACTACGACTACGACACAACATCGAAGGCAGGGGCTTCGGTCTGGACGGCGGCGGCTTCACGCGCCGCAAGCGGGGGTCGGCGCCGGGACGGTGCTAGCGTCGCTCTCGCTGACCCGCAGGCGGCGGCGCAGCTGTCGACTCCGCGCGGTGCTAGTACGGCATTACTGATGTCGACGCCGCCGCCGCCGCCGGCACCGCCAGCAGGCAATCATGACGGTAGGTTTCGCATTTTGCCGTCATCGTCATTGTCGCATTCCGGTGGCGGCGCCGCCACGGTGGCGGCGGCAGCAGCGGTGTATCCGCCGCGGCGTCGGGTGGATGCGCTGTACGGCGGTGCCGTACATCGCCGTGCTATCTCGGGACGTACGTTAGGCTATCGACCTGTGGTCACGTCGTACTACCTGAGCGTGAAGGTGAGAGATATGTGCGAAGTTAATTTTAAGGTTTCGGAGGTTTCGGAGCGGCTTGTTTTTGTTTTAGTCTCCGACGCAAGTGTGTCGATATTGCGTTGCCCACAGTTTCTATCCCCAGTGCGAGTTTGATGAAGTGACAAAGTGTTTTGGCAGACTATTTATGGCAATTTGTGAGGAGTGAGGGGAAAGTGCTGTTTCTGTTTCTGTACGGGGAATGGAAGGACCTGATGTGAGCCTGCATTTGTTACTGTTTAGTCACGTGCACGTACACGAAACACGGCACGACACGTTATCACAAGTCCAAAACCCCTTCCCTTTCTCTCTCTTATAACACACACACACACACAGAGTAGCTCGCTGATGTGCCGTACAGCGCTTTTGCCTAGTGTCCCTGTTCGAATGCATACATACATATTGCGTTATGGAGTGAGGGAATTGAAACAACGGCTGCGGCCGCTTGTCGGCTTGCTGGCAGGTGGTGTCCCGTTTGCTGATGGCCCTGCAGGCTATCCTCTCTTGTCGACCACCGCACGGGGATGTTCTGCTTGCTACACATCTGAACACATCTGGACTTATCATTGCGGAATTTCCCGTGCTGGATGAAGATAACTGAATATAATTTATTTGTTTGGGGAATATCTATTCTATGGTATTAATTTAGGGTTTATGTAATTATTTTTATGGCTATAAATTATTAAATAAATTATTTATTTAGGGATTATATTTAGGAATTTGTCGCTTCGTCTTCCTGCAGCTCCACGGCCATGCAGACCTAGATCGTCGAGTTGGTGACAGTGATGATGGCGATGGCGACGGCAACTCAGATGACCGCTTTGTTGAAGCAGCGTTACGGTTGCGTCGCTGCGTTGCCGACGCCACCGTGGCGGCGGCGGCGGCGGCGATGTCCTCTGGCCGCCGCCGCCGTATCCTTGACCGCGACAAATATAATGACGACACCGCCACCGCGAAGTGTAACGCCGCCGCCGCCGCCGCCGCCGCCGCCCATCGTGTTGCTGCCGACAACATCGATGCCGCCGCTGCTATGTCGTACACGACGCATGCATCACCGATGTCGTCCCGGTCGCCGGCCGCTGCTGCCATCGCCACACCGTCGTACAGCTGCCTGAGCAGTACGGCTGTCGTACGCGGCTGTGTGCACCTGTTAGGTGTGGTGACCAGCCTGTTTGGCTTCGCCACTACCGCTACCAGAGGCAACGGCGCCGCCGCCGCCGCCGCCACCGCTGCTGCTGTTTCCGCCAAAAGTCCTGTTGGCGGCATGGCTCTGCCGTACCATTTGGAGTTGCGCGGCTTGGAAAATTTGGAAGAAGCAAGTGAACTGCTGAGCCAGGCGTTACTGGAGGCTGGTGATGATGGCGACAGCCCCGATAGGGGCCGGTATGATGTCGTACACTCCCCCCGCAATATGACATTTACGTTGTCGCCCGTGGCGGTGGCGGCCCCAGCGGAGCGCGGTACGGAGATTGAGGTGGAGCTGCACAGATGGGACCTTCTGTACGACATGTACGGCGGCCGCGGTGGCGGCGGCGGCGGCGGCGTAATGCCTGACACCGGTTGTGGTGGCAGCGGTGGTGATGTAGCTTCTCAAGCCGCACGGCACGTCCGTGTCATCGTTGTTGACACTGATGGAGATGCCGTACTGATGGACGAGCATGTAGATTTTGAGCCGTACATGTCGTACTTGAAAAAGCGTTTGGACGAGAGCACCGAGGCGGCTCGGTGCGAGCTGTCGTGTAGCAGCAGTGTCAGGTAGGGGTGCTTCATGGGGGTTGAACTTACGCTGGGTGAACAATATGTTATTGTTATAATTATTTTTGGGCGAGGCCCCGGGCGCGAAGTGCCATTCGGAGGCCCGAGCCCCCCGGGCTCACTGCTGTCAGTCAGTCAGTCAGTTAGTCAGTCAGTCAGTCAGTCAGTCAGTCACTGGCTTACATATCTCGCCCCGCAAAAAATAGCGTTTGAATGCTATATGAAATGCCAAAGGAGACATTCCAGGTAAATCGGAGCGACACAAAGATAGCTTTCCTGTCAGTGGCTGCACCGGGGCCGAGCCCCTTTTCGGCTTTGAAAAGCTGCCCCCTAGTCCCGTTTGTTGGTTGGCTGCGGTGGATAAAATGGTTGAACATTGCATGTTTGCAGCATCCTTAACCAGGATCTGGACCACAGCCGCAGTAGTGATAATAAAATTAAAATTTTCATAAAAACATTGAAATTGTTTTTGCTCTTGCTGTGTTGATTAACCCGTAATTAACTTCTTTTTTCGGAACAAACTTCTCCCCCAATAGTAACGTCCTCCCACATTTTAGCCTTTTACGCCTTTCTATTTTCTGAACTTGAACCTCGATGCTGTATGCAGGCTGCGTCTTCCTGCGCCGACGCAACCGGGGATGTCGTACATCCACATTCTACCATCATCGATGTCGGCGTCGCCGTCCCTGCAAGCGCTCCCGTACACCACTGCCGCCGCCGCCGCCACCGCAGGTGACGGCCTGGCGACGGAATGCAGCCTGTCCGGCCGTACACCACCAACGGCGGGGTCGTATGGCCCGCTGGCGACGCTGCCGTTGCTCGTGATGCCGACGGCGGCGGCAGCAGCGGAGATGCGCACGCTGTACGACACTATGGTCGATGATCTTCTGGATCTACCGGTGACGGAGGCGGGAGATGACGTCGCCGCCGCCGCTGTGGAAGATGCCGCGGCTGCTGCAGTTTCCTACAGGTCTGATTTGTATTGCGAAGGCGGCGGCGGTGGAGGCAGCGGCGGTGGAGGCGGCGGCATGCCTACACCGGCACATGTTACAGCGTTTCATCAACATTTCGTTCCTTTCGCCAGTGACGTTGCCTACCTCACTTCGTGGCTTCAGAAGAAGGTCATTAACAACAATGCGCTAAGGATTGTCGACACAGACGGCGGCAATGACGGTAAGTACGGCACTGAGGGCAGTCCCCGTACTGGGCCGGCGGCGGCAAGCGGCAGCAAGTACGGCACCGAGGGCGATTTCAGTGCCACACTGGCAGCTGGCGCGATTGCTACGGAGTCGGAGTCGGAACTGCAGGCCATCGTACAGCTGGCGGCGTCCGTACTGTCGTACATGGAGAATTGCGGCCTACATGCCAGCATGCGGGACTTGAAGGCGACGTTGGCGACGCTGTGGCCGTACGGCATCGAGACTGCCTCCGCCGCCGCCGTCGCCACGGGCAGCGACACAACGTCGGCGCTGTTCGTACCCTCGGTATCCAACGTGGCGGCCGCCACCGGCGCTGACGACGCTGCTGACACAGCTGTACGGCACTACTCGGTATCTTGCCCCTGTCCTGCGATGGAGGGCGGTGGCGGTGGTGGCGGCGATGGCGGCGGTGGTGGTGGTGGTGGTGGCCGTGGGGATGGTCCACAGGATATGGCCGTCTCAAAAAGATCTTTCCACTTTCCACTGGTACGTGATGCTGGCACGGACGAGGTGCCGGCACAGGCATGTTGTCAGGATCATTAGCCATCCACACAAGCGTATTCATGTTCCCAATCAGCAGTCGTAGCTCGGCCTGTCGTGTTGCATGTGGTTTTGGAGTAAATTTTGTGGAATTTGGTAAAAAGGAATTAGTGCCGCTTTAGAATGTGCGGAACCTTTAAAGTGCACAGGGGGAATTTTGCTTAAGAAGGAAAGGGAAGGGAAGGGACGGCTGAGAGTGAAGGCGCCGCCGTGTTCTGTCGTACTGTCGTACGTACTGTTAGGTAACGGAAATGTTGCACGGGGCTCAAGAGCTATGTTGCCTGCTCGCTTAGCCTGCTGCTGCTGCTGCTGCTGCTGCTGTTGCGCACAATGTCCGTGCACAAGTTTTTGAGTTTTTGAGTGGCCAGCGGCTGAGAACAATGCATGAGGACTTTCTGGACAGGTGTGTTCACCAGGGTTTTCCTATCGATGGCACCAACAGCGGGCGGGGATGGGAAGAAGAAGGCTGCTAGCTACCTGTCCGAATGGATGTACGAATGTATGCTCGTACTGTACGGCAGCGTCCGTCTTCCCTAAGTGAGACAACCACCTGCGTGCATGACTGCTGCAAGATTTTCACGAAATTTAAATAATGGACTGGATTTAGTTTTGGATCTTATAGCTGTTAAAGAGACTTCTCAAAGAGTGATGTGACGAGTGATGTGAGCTTTTGAAAACGGCGGCAGGCATACCGATTGGAGTCGTTGATCAAATTCGTTGGGGAGATGATTCGTTGCGGAGGGTGTCAAAAGGAGTAAAAGAGCGACCCCATGTGCGTGTGCGGGACGCGGCGTTGATATGATTTCTGTTTTTGAGGAGAAATTCTCAAATATAATTAATTATGTTTCAAGTATGGTTTATGGAGCGCCGATTCAAAGCTTGATCGGTCGCCATATCGGCAGGCGGAATAAATGTTGTATTATTTTATGTTCACGCAGGTTAATTTCGGGCGAGCAATCCATTTAAAAAATGCTGTGCTGCTGAAGACTTATGGAAGGGAAGGACGCGAGGTGTACTGTCCCGCTTGCTAGCTAGCTTCTAAATTGTCTAGGTGTGGAATGTTTCGGAGTGTTTTTTTAATATTCCGAAAAATTAATGTTTTTTTGGCTTTTGATGAATTGTTGCGGCTTTATGCCGAAACCTTTGGACAGATAGATTTAAATAAATAATTGTCTGATGTGTGGATCGAAAATAACGTTTATAAAATGGAATAAAATTTGATAGCCACAGAGAGGCTGCTGGGCAAGATCGCGCGTGTCTTGAATATGTAATAAATAATGTGTGTACCGAATCTGGAGCAGCAACAGATCTGTAGGGGAGCAGGCCATGTTCTTTGTTGATGGGGTTCTTTGTTCGTTGTTGGTGGGATGGGGTGTTATACTGTGGGGGACAAAGCTCGTCCCAAGAAAGGACGACGAGCACCGTGGAGGGCCCTGACCGGACCGGGGGCCGAAACACAGCGCAGAAGGGGCGCGGCCACGCGGCTACGTCTTTGTTGCATTTTTAGTTCAGCACTCCGCCGTGCTGCGTCAGCTGCGTCGGATTGGATGGGGCATCAGCAACTCGCTGATGCCAAAAGGAAAAAATATATTCGAGGTAATAACGTGGCTGTTATCTTTTTTTTTAAACCTTTTCGCTGTAGTTCTGTATGTGGGTTTGTCGCTCTGTACCGCAGGGATTAGTTTGAGTGTGCACACTCGAAACACGAGCGCGTGTGCACGCCTGCGCCTACTTCTAACAATGCGTGGAAGAGAAGAGTAACAAAGGAGTGCGAGCACGTGTACATGTTTTCTTCCAATCTTATGGCCAACTGTACTTTGCATGCGGCTCAATAGAGGTACTTTCGTTGCCCTATCTGTAGTATCGTCGTTTAGCTTGCTGGGCGACAGCAGGTTGGAAAGATATTGGCTTGGAGAGGTTTACGGACAGTAGAGAAGTACGAAAGGTACGGAAGGTACGAACTAGTTGCAGTATCAATTTGCAAAATTAGTTGGCAAAATTAAGGTTTTATTAATAATTGTTGATGTACCTTCAGGATATTATATACATCATCTTCTAGAAAGTCCACGTAGCTGATCTAGTGTATATCCATAGCTATGGAAAGGTCCAGGGACCACTTACCATACGGCACCCCGAGACCTATACATTTCATTGCAGGTTATAAAATGTTGTAAAGGTATAATTTCAAATCAGTTAACGCTACATTGGTAAGCAGAGACCGGAGGCAAGCAACACACACACACACACACACGCCACTAGCTTGCATTCAAATTCAAACCCTGAGATCAGTTTATTGATTGCTGACATATCAGGGGTGCTAGCAGTGATATGTTCGTCTGTCGTTAACTAACTTGCACCCATGCTGAACGAGTCGATGTAATCCGTGTCAGCGAAGCAAACGTACTTCAAATAAGTTATAAAATGGATCTGTGAGAAGGGTTCAGCTCCCTTGGCATCTCCCTCAGTACTCTTTGCATGCTGGTGTTATAGAATCTGCAAATCCGTGAAAACAAAAAGAAGCGGCCCGAACCCAGCCCCAACCCGGCTCCCGCGGGCTAAGGCTCCGTACATTGAAGAAACGCGGTTACGCCTTACACCCCTCAATGGCCTGATGCCGTAGACATACAACAAGAGGTTGCAGCAGCTGGTTCGGCGCCCAGCAGCCAAGCATCGGTGGTTCTATCCTTCTGGAACTGTATGGCTGCCCCCACCCACTACCCCACCCGCCTCCTACGCCTCTTGTGCTCCGTACGGCGCACGGACGCATCCCCGCCTTGCGCCCCTCACATGCCTGATGCCCAAGACATATAAGAAGAGACTGCAGCTGGACCTGTGCTGAAATCGTGGTCCCTGTCATGTGGCCGGCTGGGTCCTGCTTTCACCCAGAGTTTTGAGTTGATGAAGGGCCCATCCCGGTTATGTTTATTGGGGTGGCTTTGGAATGCGCCCAATGGGCTTCATTTAGATTTACTACCGTGGTTGCGGTGGTCTAGGTGGTCCCTCCATCCAGTTGGGGGTTGCCGTGGGGCTGGAGCTGGTGGGCTGTCAGGCTGCGGTCTCGCATGTGGGTGATCTGCTACCTTTCCACCGTCTTTTGTAGAGCCGTACTGTGTACCAGCTACTACACAACCTTTCCACCGTCTTCTCTATGTCAGGTGCGCAGGCGCAACGGTGCTTTGGAGTTTCACAAAGCCGCAGGATGAATTAAAGCTCTTAAGCAAAATCCAATAGTTCTGGGGGCGAAATTCCACATGGCCTACGGCACCCAGCATGCCACATGGCTTATCGGTCCTCGGTTGCCCCCATGTGTCCCATGGTTTAACTCTGCTTACGGCGCCCAGCACGTCAATAAGAAACCACATACGCAATCCGGACTTTACGACTGCAAGTGGCGGCCAATCAGATTTGTCGTACCACATGAGAAACCCTAAGTTAACAGTTCCGAACTAGTTTGTAGCTACGGTTATCATGGTACAGGGCTCAACACATGCACCAAAGAAAACCACTATCAGGGGTACCTGATGATGGTTTTTTACCTGCTATTGTAGAAGAATGTATGTTCAACTGAGGAAAAGTGCACGAAAAAATTGCGGTTGGTGTCGTACAACTGACTGCATGTATTCAAGGCTGCGCTCGACAGCCAACCAGAGGTCGGCAAATCGGTTTCTAAGGCTGCGAGAGGGCATAATTCCGATCAGTAAACCTAAAAAACCTTCAAAATCAAAACACAGAGTTCAGCGCGCGGCCCTACGCCCGTATCACCGCCGATCACCCAGTCGCCACAAGGAATGCACACAAAATACGACAGCGTACGACAGTGTACCACAAGGTTAGGACAGCAACAAGGGACAGCACATCGTCTCCGCCGCAGTGGTAATAGTTGTATCAGGAGCGCGGCAAGGGAAGCAATAGCGGGCAGCAAATCACGTCTTTTGGTCAAATTTTGGCCAGTAGGGAGCCGCAGCCTTACGGGGCCTTAAGCCGAACTTCGGCTGCGGGTACTGTAGTACGGACCCGCAGTGCCCGCCTTATTCGCCGACCTCTGCAGCCAGCCTTTAGCGACCGTTGTTCGTTGTACCTATTTCGGTTGCCCTGGGTCGTTGCCGCCGGTATCGTTAGCGCTGATCTTGAGTGCCGGGATTCCAAGTTGCCCCAGTTCTGCCGCTGTTCCTTGCTCCCCGCCCCTTTCCCGCCCCTTTCCCGCCCCTCCCTCTTGGCTCGCTCCCTGGGGGGCACTGGGGCCCACCCAGACTCTGCAGTTTGACGTGGACTGAGGCGCTGGGTGGCACTGGGTGGGCCCCACCCAGAGAGCGCAGCGTAGAGGAACCTCCCCCTCAGCCCATGCATGTCAAACTACAGCGCAAAAAGCCCGTAGCGCAAAAAATTCCCTAAGCTCTTTCAAATCCTGTAAGAGTCGCTTATAATCGCCAACATGTTTCTGTCCGTCATGGTTTGACCTCCACTCCGCAGGCGCCGTTGCGCTTTCGTGAGGACCAAAACGGCGTTTGACGAGGGAGGGGGGTACGTTTGAGCGTTCGGAAATGCTGCTGGCTTTCCCTTCCCCTCGGGTCAGAGGTCCCTCTCTGGGGGAGTAGCCGACAGCTGCACGCAAGCAAACAGGACCAAACTATGGGCTCTTAACAGTATTTGGTACGGTACGCTATATGCATCGGAATTCCTTTTCCATGGTTCCATTGCAACAAGTGTCATTCGTGCATGAACCGATGATAAGGCGCCGTGTGTAATTTGTATGCGATGCGCTTGCTGCCAGTGTGCAAAGCCTCGATATTGGCTTGGCAGAAATACAACAATCATTACGGCGATTTGTCATGAGGTTTCGTTCGCATGAAATGCTATTGACCCCTATGGGTACATGGCCCGGGGGTCGCCCCCAGTTTTAGATCTCTCCAGACGAGATAAGTGTCCACAGCCTAAACCAGCGTCTGTAGCCGAAATCAGGTAATATGTGGAGAGCCATTTGTGTCAAAACTTTCATAGCACTGCCTTTCGCCATCAGAGGCCCCTTTTACCTAAATTCAAAACTGTGACTGCAGTACTATAATGTCGAAACAATATACGAGGTTAATTTTACCTATAACGGTGGGTTGCTCCCGTCTTCCTTTCGAGCCGTACGAAACGGTGACGGCTAAGTAGAAGTTGACCCCAGAATTAGTGAAATGCGTAGTGCAATTCGGGTCTTAGATTAGCTATTTTCTTTGATTTACAGGACTGGGTCCCGGCCTTCTAGCTGGGAAGCTGTGTCGGCGCAGAGAAGTTCCTTCATACCTTTGACGTAGGCTCTGAAAACGCCGAACATGTCGATGTTGAAACAGAGGCTTGAAAGCGGTAGGGATCCGCCTTCTTTTTGTCTTTTCTCATAACATTCTGGTTAACGGACGCACGTTGAAAACGCAGCGCGGGGCTCTTCCCTTCGTTGCCCCTTCGTGCGGAGTGCTCCAAATGGTCGCGTACGTCTTCAATGGAAGACGGGATCGCAGGCCGTTCAGCGCTCGCGGGCTGACGTGCGGGTAAGCGATGCTGATGGCCCCTTGGTCATGACACGACAGGGTGACCCAATTATTCACAATCAGCTATTGCTTTTCTCAGGTACGAGTTGCCGAGGCCACCACACCTAACCTGGTAAGTATGTCCCCCCCCGTGTCATGTGGCGACGGGAAGGTTGCGCATGGATGGCAAGTTAGCCCGAGCTGTCTCTACGCAGAGGACGGGTGACGTGTACGTGGTTGAGCCCAAGCCCCTGGAGGAGGGCGTGGAGAAGCACATCATCTCCATCTTTGTCGCGGATGAGCCAGGTCTTATCAACCGTGTCGCGGGCGTCTTTGCTCGGCGAGGTAAGCCCCCTCGCCGCTACATCAGTTTGCTGCCTGCCTGCCCCCCCTGATCAGACGCCTGACGCCTATCACCCAATCACCACCACCCAATCACCACCACAGGTGCCAATATCGAGTCCCTGGCTGTGGGCCTTACCGTCGATAAGGCCCTCTTCACCGTCGTCGTCGCCGGCAAGGCTGCCACCGTGGTACGGCATTCATGAGGAGCCGTACATGCACGATGTACAGCTCTATTCCTTCTGTCCTTACCTTTTGTCTTAACCCGTCTTCACTCCTCCTCCTCCTCCTGCACCTCTTTTCCTCCCGAGGAACCTTTTCCCCTCGAGTCGTCGGGTTCTCCGTACTTCTTACCTCACCTCGCCCCATCTACCCCCTACTTCCCTTCCCATCGTCAGCGGTTCCCTTTCCTAACCCCCCGTACACCTCCCCCCCGACGCTGTTTCCATCCTGGACCCGCCTAACACCCCCAAATGGGTGCTTCTTGAACCCCCCCCAAGGCCAACCTCATCAAGCAGCTCTCCAAGCTGGTCAAGGTGCGCTACGTGGAGGACATCACCGCGACCAACAGGATAGGTGGGGGCTGGGGTCGGGGGGGAGGGGGGGGGCTGGGGTCGGGGGGGGGGAGGGGGAGGGGGGAGGGGGAGGGGGCGTGACGGGGCGGTGCAGGGCGTGACGAGGTCGCGGTAGGGCAGTATTGGCGGCTGTGTGAAGCTGTGTGTATCGGCGTGCAGAGGTACGCCGGTGGAGGGCGCTGGGTGAGTGATTCCGTTTCGATGATTTGGTTCCTGGGACTGGGACTGGGAGCGGGAGCGCCGTGATGGTGTGGTGGATTGACAAGATGTATGCTTTCCAGCTGCGGTGCTGAAACAGCACGGGGGGCAACAACAACAACAACAACAACAACAACACCAGCACCAGGAGTAACGAGGAGCCACCATGACGTGATGAGCCACTGTGTGTGGCCACTGTGGAACAGCAGCCACGGACAGCCGCTGGGGCAGCTGGGTGGCAACAAGACTGGGGACGGATCAGGACGCGGTCACGGAGCAACAGCGGCTTTTCGTTATAGGTAGTGTTGGCAGCAGCAGCAGCAACAACAGCAGCACCAGCACCAGCAGTATCTGCAGTAACAACTGTGGTCGGCACTTTGGCCCTGGTCACATGCCATTTGGCGCTTTGCGGCTCTTTTTTAATTTACTCTTTCCTTTCTGTCAGAAGCAGAGGGAGCCGCACGGGGCGGGGGGCCCCCCCTTGCCGGTTGAACCAGCGCGGGAAGGGGGCCGTGTGGCGGCTGCCTCTTGTCTCAACACCATCACCCACATTATACACACACAGCAGGCGCGATGACCCAGGCGCGGCGGTTGAAAAAGAGTACTAACCGTTCTGTGGCAGCTAGGTGCGCGGTAGTTAGATGTCGCAACTGATCGCCAGCGTCTTATTGTCAATTTTTCATCATCGGACATTTTTCCAGCCCAGCGGCGGACGGACTCCATTCGCCATTCGTACATTCGTACACTCCAATGGAGCTCCTCCGTAGCGCGTAGCCATGTATGTATGTAGTTGTCGCTGGGAGGGAGGGAGGCGTCGTAACTGCTGCAGGGCGAGCTGATGGCCTCGCCCTGAAAATCCGACATACGGCCGCCATCATCATCATCTTCATCATCATCATCATCTTCTTCATTTGGGTGATACGGACGTTTCCTTGCCGGTTCGGTAACTAGTAGCTACTTATCGTATCGCAGCTCCTCTCGCACGCGCAATCTTTCCCCTAACCTCCGTTACTCCCAATGGCCAATCCGTGAATCTGCGATGGCCCCAAATCGCTGTTGTATTGTTTGGTTGATCCATTTTGTGATGATTGTATTTTGTATATTAACCTTTTTTCCTCAGAGCGCGAGCTGCTGCTTCTGAAGCTGGGTGTTCAGCCTGGTCCCGCGCGCGCGGAGGTGCTGCAGCTGGCCCAGATCTTCCGGGCGCGAGTGGTGGATGTGAGCGACAACACCCTCAGTCTGAGCGTGACGGGAGACCCGGGCAAGGTGGGTCCGCACCCGGTTGCGGGCGGTGGGGCAGCGGGGTAGGGAGGGAGGAAGGGGAAGGGGGAGGGGAGGGAGGGTGCCGGGAGGGAGGCAGGAGTGGGGCAGTGGGGGAGGGAGGGGAGGGGAAAAACGAACCACGAACCACGAGCGAGTGAAGCTGCTGCCAAGGAAAGAGAAGCAGAACTGACCAGTAGGCGGTTTTGAAGCCAGGAGCCGAAGGAGGGAGGGTGCTGGGAGGGTGCTGGAAGGGAGGCCAGCCGAGAACAGATGGCAACAGAGGGTAGAGGGCACAGGGTAGGTGTGCATGTTCGTATCGTTTACACAACCTGCATGTATGTATAGCTATGTGTATGTACAGCTATGTGTATGTATAGCTATGTGTATGTATAGCTATGTGTATGTATAGCTATGTGTATGTACAGCTATGTGTATGTATAGCTATGTGTATGTACAGCTATGTGTATGTACAGCTATGTGTATGTATAGCTATGTGTATGTATAGCTATGTGTATGTACAGCAACGTCGAACGATCCTTCCCCCGTCCCGTCCCGCCGGGTGCCCGGGGGCCCAAACGCAAATCCCCCCCCCAGCTCACTGCTCTGCTCAAGGTGATGTCCAAGTTCGGGGTTGTGGAGCTGGCCCGCACCGGCCGCATCTGTCTGCGGCGAGGAGAGGACCTCCTGGAGCGGGGGACCAACCTGCCGGAGGAGGCGGAGGCAGCGGCACCGGCGGGACCCACGGGTCGGCGGCATCCAGTGGGTGAGTGGATGATGATCGGGTTGTGTGTAGGGTAAGGATGGGTGGTGGGGATGGGGGTTGGATGGGTGGGGTCACCCACTTATCCTTCACCGCCGCTTTCCCCTCCTTCCCTTCCCTTCCCTCCTCCTCTTCCCCTCCCTCCCCCCCCGTCACTCTCACTCGTTCGTGGTTCATCTTTCCCTCCTCCTCCCCCTCCCTCCCCCTCCCTCCCCCCCCTCTTCCCCCTCCTCCTCCCTCTTGCCCCACTACCGCAGCGCCTCCAAGTCCTCCGCCGTCGTTAAGGAGGTGGAGGTCGGGGGAGGTTCGGGGACCGACTCGGAGTCCGAGCGCACCGCGGATGTGTACGCCGTGGAGGAGGACGTCAGCGGTAAGCGAGGGAGAGGGAGAAGTAGGGAGAGGTAGGGACTGGCAAGAAACCCAGCCTCGACAGCAACGTACTCCCCGAATCACGGATCATGCTTTAATGTGCTTTCCGTTGCCCTGTTCTTCTCCCCCCCTCCCCCCCCCACCCACCCACCCACCCACCCACCCTCCCCACTTCCCCAATTTCCTTCTCCATCCCCCCTTGAGCCTTGTGTCTCTCAAACCCTCTTGAACTCCCCTCCCGCCCACTTGCTCGACTGTACGCACACCCACAAAACACACACGACTGTTGTCAGGTGTTTGGGATGCGGACAACGTGCTCGCTGCCACCTACGCGGCTAAGGGCGAGGTGCCCTCGGACTTTAAGTCCTACACCCTCAACATCGAGGTGCAGGACGTGCCGGGCGTGCTGAACCAGGTAAGAGTAGGGGTAGTTGAAAGGGCGGGAGGTGTGCGTGTTTGTTTGTGTGTTTGCGTTGTGTGTATGTGTCTTGTCTGCGTGTGGGGGGAAGGTGAGGTGGGGGCCCCGCCATAAATAAACAGGACCCTCTACCTACCTGTACTTGAGCGTTCTAGAACATTCCTGTAGCGATCTTCACATACTCACAATAAAACTACATACATACATACATACATACACACATACACACTCTCTTCCATGAGCTGTCTCATATCTGCCACTATTACCCCGCACCACCCATCACATTGTTCCACACGTACCCACCCACCCACCCACCAACCAACCAACCAACCACCAACCACCTCCCCCCCTGGCCCCCGTCCACCACATCGCAGGTGACCCAGGTATTCGCCCGCCGCGGTTACAACGTCCAGTCCCTGGTGGTCGGGCCTTCGGAGCGCGAGGGCATGTCCCGCATCGTGATGGTGGTGCCGGGTCGCGCCACCTCACCGGACGGCTCCTCCGGCATCTCCCCGCTGCTCAAGCAGCTCTCCAAGCTCGTGTTCGTGGAGACCATCACCGACCTCACGGATGTGCCGTACGTCAACCGGGAGCTGCTGCTGGTCAAGGTCTGTGCGTGTGTGTGTGTGTGTGTGTGTTTAGTAATTTGTGAGTGTGCTTTTTAATGTATGTGTGTGTGTGTTTTAAGATGTGCTTTTGGGGGAGCGGTATGGTTGGGGTAGGTTTCTTCTCCTCCCGCTTTTCTTTGACACCCAATTCGCGTACCGTACCGTCTCATCGTACCGCATCGTCCTCACTTTCTATTTCCTCCCCCCCGCGGCCCCCCTGGTTGGCCTCCCCTCACCAAAATCCGTGTCTGTCTGTCTGTCTGTCCACTCTACTCGTCTGTCGCTACAGGTCCGCTGCTCCGCCGCTCAGCGCGGTGAGCTCCGCGACCTGGCCGCCATCTTCCGCGGCTCCATCGTGGACGTGTCCGCCAACTGCCTCACCATTGAGGTGCTAGGCAAGGAGGATAAGATGAAGGCGTTCACGGAGCTGCTGCAGCCGTACGGTACGTACAGACGAATGTATGTATGTATATGTATGTATGTATGTATGTATGTATGTATGTGCACCTTCAACTGTCAACCGCCGCCACCACCCCCACACACAATCCCCCTGTTTCCCTTTCCCTGCGCCCACCTATTATTATCCCTGTCTGTCTTTCCTGGCTCACTCCTCCTCGCACCCCCGGGCTGATCCTTTCCTAGGGATTTTGGAGATTGCGCGCACGGGCCGTGTGGCCATGGCCCGCGACTCCGGAGTGAACTCCGAGTACCTGGAGCGCATGTCCATGGGCCGAGTCATGTGAAGTGTTTTGGAGGGGTGGGGTGGGGAATGAGTTGGGATTGTCTGAACGATGATGAGGATGGTGAGGATGGTGAGGAGGAGGAAGGGGAGGAGGAGGATAATCATTTTTGGGGGGGAAAGGAGGAGGAGAACAACGTAGTTTGTGAAAATGATTTGGATTAAGGACGGACCCTAGGCTCTTCGCACACTCCTTACACTCCTCGGCTTTCCAAAGGGGAACCCCTTCTTCTTCCCCTTTGGGGAACCAAAGGGGAACCGCGATGATGTGCGAGTCCGTTCTTGGTGTCTTCAGTCATCTGGCGACGAGAACGTCTGCGACCCACATGGGGAGACAAAACAAATCTTGTGTTTGTGTGCGCGCGCGTATATTTGCTTGCTTGTTTTCCTGATTATGTGTTTGTGTGACGATATAAGTTCCGCCTCATCAAGAGACACGGACCGCGTCTGTGTGTGTTTTGCACATGTGTGTATTGTGTGTTTTTCGTAAGTTGTCAGGCAGTGGTAGGTGGGCAGTGTAGGCAGTCGTACAGGAACAACGCTGAGGTAAAGCTCGCTTCAAGAGGGACTTGAAGAACCTTTCCAAGCAAGACCGTATTGAGGTTTGTCGGTTTGGATTCCTTTCGGCGCGGAAAGAGCTTTTCTGAGACCCTTAGATGCAGTCCAGGGCGCGGTATGCAACGGCTGACGGCCGGTCCCGCATGCCTGGATGCCTAAAGGAGTATGTTGTAGTATTTGGGGCAAAGAGGTGTTCACAGTCGAAATACAAACACGTCAAAGCGGTGCTTACGTCAAAGCGTTGATTGGTGTTTCACAAAGTAACTAGGCCCAGATAACATGTAATGTAATGTTACAGAGTGGGAGGCTTCTGGGCCGCTTTATCACATTGTCAGTTCTACGATTTATCATCTTATAGCACCGTCCACCACTACCACACTATACTTCGCCATACGAACTGTAAGTCCAAGGCGGCGGGTCCAGCCGTCTAGGACCCCTCCTCATCCATTCACCCGAACAACCGAAGAGACGGAGGGTTCGGCAATCGCCACCAATTTAGCGTGCGAATCTGGTCCATCAACTGCGACCTCAACTCCACATCTCAGCAGCTAGCCATAATCTCGCGCTCCCGACTAATTCGGGGGTCTCCCCAGGAATCGAACCCAGGACCTTAAACCGCGAATCGCAGTAGTGTCAACCCAGACCAGATAACATGTGATATTTTTGCGAAAAAAGATTTCCTTCCAACCTTGTGTCCGTCATTTGTTCTGTTGTGTAGGCCTGCTTAGGATTGATAGCGAAGATCTTCCGAAGTGGTGTTTTGTCAATGCCATGAAAAGCCTCTAGTAACTCTATTCGTAGCTGTACTGCTGATTCGGAACATGCCATGAACCTTTGGACAGGTTACGTACGGCAAACACTTCTACAGTACTACAGTAACGCAATTATCGCAGCATTGCTTGTTTCGTTTCCCAGTGGTCATTGACATGTTTTTCCTGCCGATATGTCGGTGGAGCTGGGGTACACATGCTGTATTACGGCATAACCCGTTGAACGGGAGGATTTTCCAAGCGTCGTCATTTCCCACACAAGGATGCTTTCCATTTCAACCATTGAGAGCTAACGTTGAGAGCTACCCAGCTCAGGACGCGGGTGTTTGCATAGCGGCGTAATGCTCGTGTAGAGCCAGTTTCTTAGTGAAGATGGGAATATTTAAATGCTGTTTCTTAGGTGATGCCCAAAGGGAAGGGCTGGCACCTGATATACCCACAAGCCCAACGTCCCTTTTAGAGACTGTTATCAGTGCCCAGTTTGAGGCAGACACCGTAACTTCTCCAACACCAGCTCCTATCAATGCTTCTGACAAGCTTCAACGCATTTTGACAGACAAGGTATGTACACGATACCGGCAGCCCAAGTGTAATCACTGATTCACTTAGTCCTCGCTCGGACCGATTCTTGCCAACATAGGAACGACAGGACTCTGGTTTTACTCATGCAAAGGATGCCAGCAACGGCCTTGAGTGCGCACTGTCGCTTCAAGCTAAGTTGTGTGCGGCTGGAAGGATTCACCAGTTTCCTGAAGCTAGGGCAGGGTTTCTTGTTGAGACGCTTCAGAAGCATCTGGACGCATCGTCTGTGCGGTGAGTACTTCCAATATCGAATAAGGTCAGCTTCACCTGTTACACGACATCCTTTAAGGAACGACGCTGTCTATGCGACCCGCTCCTGACTGGCGTCCCCGTGACCATGGATCTTTGCGTGTACCCTGTTCCACTTCAGCAACACCACACCTGTGCGCGCTCGCGGCTGGGTCCGCAGGCTCTATGTAATGGCATCCGATGGTTCTGCTCGGATTGGTGAGGGCACTCTCGTGCAATTGGCTTGTGCTGTCTCCCGAGGAGGACAGATCGCCGGCTTAGCGGCCGCAGGGGGCTTTGGAGCGGCCGCGGCGCAGGACCCGCCTTGCCCGCACCCAGGTTACATGTGCCCCAAGCACGAGCCTGTGGGTTCGTCGTCAGCGCTCCTTAGGCAGGCGCTAGTGAGCAAGGTAGGGGGGTAATATGGTCGTGGTGCTAAGGATCGGTGGACCGCATGCCGCCACGGCTATGGGTCGGCGCCCGCGAGCACCCTCGAGCGCCTCCTGATCTGCCGCTGCCCGGCTTCTTTATGTCTTCCGCCCGCAAATCATATAAAGATATGTCGAATCACTCAGGTGCATCGTAAAAAAAAAGCGCTGCATTCACCAGCCTTGAACTCAACGCGCCCAAGAACATTTCGGCTTCGGCGTCAAAATCAAAAAACGTCCCATCTGCGTTGCTGTGTACATGTGTGGATGATTTACGAGGGATATTTTTTTGTTTGTTTTTTTGCTGTACCGTCCTTGCTGACGTGTCCAGGCCTCGGTCGTGCTGAAGTGTGCCGCCCGGCATGAGCTTGCGGAGGGGGGTCTGGGCACAGCGTCGGCGGTGCCCCAGCCGCCCCAGCAGCCGCCGGTGCGGCCATCTCACGGGTCCGCAAGCAACCCCTCCAGCAGCTACCGAGGCGGTGGTAGCGGCACGAAGGCCTTCCCAGCCACCGTGGCGACGCAGTCTGGCAGCAGCGGCTACCTTTTCTCCGCCGTACAACCGGATGTGGACGCCGCCGCTGCTGCCGTCACCACCGCCGCCACCGCCACTAGAAGCAACACTGCCCAATGCTGTCCTGATTTGGACCTTATCGACGAGGACGCCGTGTTCGGAAGCGACATGCTATTCGCCGCCGTACCGCTGGTGTACGGCATGTCTACGCTGGGCGTGCTGTGGATTGCTGTACCTGTTGCCGACGACGACGCGATGACGATTGGCGCAGGAGCCCAGCTGCAAACCGGCGGAGCTACCGTGGGACCAGCCGGCGAGCAAGACGGCGGCGGCCCGCTTCCGCAGTCTAGACCGCCACAACCCCCGCTGTCTGCGACGCAGCAGCTTCAGCAGAAGCATCTGGAAGGTTGCAACAGCAGCAGCAGCCGCGGCGGAAACGCCGCCGCTGCAACGCGGCGCGGGGCGACCCATGGGTCTTCCATCTCCTTGACCGGCATTGCTTCCGGCCCTGCGGCTCTGCTGGCCAACCCAGCCGCCATGGACAACGTGGCCATGTCCGTGGCGATGCACCTGGCGGCAGGTTGCGCCGAAACCACGTACCTCAACCGCTTGGGGGAATCCCTGTACAGGCTGGCGGAGAGCGCTACGCTGGCAGAGCTGATTCTGGAGCTGTGCAGCTCCCTCGTACAGCATGTTCAGCATCGTTTTTACGTGGATGCAACCGCCCACTCGGCGCTGGTGCCGATGCCGGATTCGCGTGTGGCGTTCATGTTGCGGCCGGAGAGGGTGGATGGTCCGACGAGCTTGCGGGCCGCGCGCCAGCAGCAGCACCCGTTGTCGCAGCAGCAGTCCCGGTTGCGGATGGCATCCGTGCCGTCGGTGCCGAGCGGTGCAAACCTGCTCAACCTGTCAGGGGCGCCGGAGGTGGGAAATCGATCCAGGTAGGGTGGCAGGGATTTTTTCAAATCCTTGTTGAAAAAGTAAGAAACTCCGCAAAACCTCGGAAATGTAATGAGTTGTAACAAAGAGTAACACATGTTGGTGGTTATGGCTACAGTATCTTCACCAATATGGGCCTTCATAAGAAGGGGCTCGTTAGCAAGTATTAAGTGATTGTGAAAGGAGATCTCCAACCTTGTAGTGGATACGGCCTCTGGCCAAAGATGTGGTGGCGCCTGGGGGAATTTTTTTTACCTTTTTCTTGTCAACAGTTGACTTTGCCCTCGGCAAGCTCATGTGTACGGCGCTCGTTGCGGCTCATACACGTTTTCCAGGAGCGTTACACTGGCGGCGCATCTGGCAGCAAGCAACAGCAGACGCAGCAACCCGACGACAGCTACCGCCACGACCGCTACCACCACCCCCGGCACTACCACTGCTACTGCGACTGTTACTGCGACCGCGGCTGCCGCTAATGCAAGCACCAACGGCCGGCAGACAGATCCACAGCGCGCGTGTACGACGGCGGCATCGTACGACGGCCCTCCTGTGCGCGCAGCGCCGTCACGGGCCTGCTCCTTGTTGGCGTTACGGACCTCCTCGGCTCCGCGAGACGTGTTTATGCTGGAGAGCAGCGTTATGCGTTCCGACGGTTCGTTTGGGCTGCTGTCGAGCTGCCAAGCTGGCGGTGGCGGCGGCGGCGGCGGCAATTTGCCGCCGTCGCTGTCGGCGCGCGCCTTTCGCCTCTCCAACACGCTTCTGCAGGCCATGTTGCACAATGCTCAGGTACGGCAGCAGCAGCAGCAGCGCAGCGGCGGCGGCGGCGGCGGCCAGAGCCCAGGAGGACCTCTCCTGGCGCCGGCCCTGGACCGACTCAAGCCCTCGTCTGATTCCTTTGATGGCATCGCCGGTGGTGGTGCTGCTGGCGGCGGCGGCGGCGTACTCGCCGGGATGTGTGTACGAGACTGCGCCCGCCATGTGCAGGATGAACGTCAGCCTTCGCGGGACGTCTGTATGTTGATGATATCGGCTGGGGACGGCCCTCGCTTTGGCGGCGGCGGCGGCATGCCGGGGAGCAGTACACGCGGCGGCGGCGGCGGCGCAGCGGCGGCCGTGGTTTCGGAGTCCTCGGTAGCGTTACCAGCCGGGGGCGGCAGCGGCGGCGGCGCGCAGTCTCTGGTGCTTCTGGGCATGGAGACGGGTGACGGTGCCGTGTTAGCGGTGTACTTGGCGTTTCCGACGCCGGCGCCGATGCAATTGCTCGAGGCGGTTCGGGACGGCTGTAGCGTACTGTTGCGGGAGGTAAGGGCGTGCAGGGGCCGAGTGTGAAATGACTGTAGCTGAGTTTTCGTTTGTGCGTTCCAACGTTCCAACGTTTCGGAGCAAATGTGCTGATCCGAACCCAACCAGTGGGAAAATACGTGTTGACCTCCGATCCCTCCCCTTCACCCTTTACCCTTTCTATCCGCCGCGCAACCCCACCCGCAGCACCTAGCTCAGCTTGTACGGCACCGCCTCCGCTGCGCTGACCTGGCAGCGGAGTGGGAGACCCTTCGCGCCGGCATCCCCGGCTCCTATCTCTCCGTTTCCCGCTGCTCCGTCGTACCGCCCGAACCCGCCGCCGGTGGTGGCGGCGGCGCTACGCCGTACGTCCACTCGCCTCTGTCGCAGCCCTACGCTCGCCGCGCCGCGCCGCTGCTTATGATGAGCGCGGGCAGCAATGTCTTTGTCGCGGCAGCGGCGTCAACAGCGTCCGCGACGGGGTTGGGGGGAGAGGAGGCGGGGTTCCTTCACGGCGCGCTGTCGTCCAACAGGGGTATGGCACTGGGCATGGCGTCGCCGTCGCTGCCCAGTCGTGCAGCGCTTGGGTCGGTGCCGGGTACGGCACCGGGTACGGCACCGGGTACGGCGGTCCCGGGAAGCGAGGCAAGCCTTGTCAGCTTGGCACCAGGGATGGCGGGTCAGGGCGGTGCCGGCGGCGCAAACCAGTCGGCGTCGGCGTCGCACTTGATGGGGCATTTCAGCGCGGCAGGCCACGTCAGTGCGACGGGCCACGTCAGCTCGGCTGCGCACGCCAGTGCGACGGGCGACGTCGGCGGCCTTGGACCCATGGGTCGCAGCCGTAAGGCGTCGCTGACACACGGCGGCATGGACTTCAGCGAGCGACCCAGCGGTGAGTGAGCGGCGAGCGCTCAAAGATTAAGGGCCCACCGAGTAAGGTCAATTGACAGCGCCCATGTCATACCCCCCCCGCCCTCATCCTCCCCCCGCACCTCCCATTCCCGACCCGACTGTTTACGTCCATCGTTACATTCGCTCCTCTGTGACAATTTCACAATTCACATTCGCTCCCTTTCCACTTCTTCTTCTTCCTCCTCCTCCTCCTCCTCCCAGGCTTAACACTGGGAGGACCTTCATGGTTGCAACGTGCCCGTCGCAGCATGTCGGCAGCGCCGTCAGCGGTGACGCCATCGTCCCGTTCCGCCTCGTCACGCGGCATGTTCCTGCGGTTCGGCAGCCTCAAGCAATCCACTGGCGGCGGCGGCGGCGGCGGCACGCCCCGCAGCCCGCTTACCAGCGGCTGCTACGCGGACCGCCTCGCCGACGGAGCCAACAGTCCCATGGGTCCGTTGACTGGGGAGGCGGACATCGAGGAGCCGGGCGTCTGGGGAGATGCAGCAGCGCCTGCGGGCGCCGCCGCCGGCCTGGCGGCCGCCGGCATGCTGACCGTGCACGATTTGGACGAGACGTACGAGAGCTGGGGCATGCGAGCTCACATGGGCGCGTTGGTTGACTCAATTTTGAGTACGACTCTAAGGAGCAGCGGAGCGCACCTTCGCGTTGATGAGGGCGGCGTGGGGTGAGATTTGTGTGTGCGTGTGTGTGTGAGGTTTGTGGTTGCTCGCGTCGTGCTGCGCAGGCTTTTGTCGGCCTGGCGGTTGGAGGTTGGTCGTCACGGCACGAGATGTGGAGGTTTAACTTTTTGCAGGAAGAGGGGCTGGCGGTAACCCTTATCTATCTGTCTACCTGTCTATCTATCTATTTATCTATCTATCTATCTATCTATCTAGCCCCACATTTCTCCTCTTATTGCCTCCCTTTCGTTATCTTGGCAGTAAAGCTCATTTCCCAGAGCACACACAGCAGTCGCCCCGTCGCTCCGATCGCCTGCGCCCGAGCTTCTTCCCTTTTTTGTCGTTGCCCTCGTACGCTCGTACAGTCGTACGGAGATGGCGGCGGCTCGCGTGACTGAGGGTCTCGAGGAGCTTCAGCTGAGTGCCGTACTGGGCCAGGGCGCCAGTGGTGTCGTACTCAAGGGCATGCTGGGCTGCACTCCTGTGGCCGTCAAGATTATGGAAATGCCGGATGCGGTGAGAAAACCGAAAATAGAAACAATTAATAAACAGCGAGAAATAGTGGAGGGCTAAGACAGCAGGGTATAGAAGGAAAAAGGCAGGCCGCAAAGGGACAGGGAGAAAGGGAGTTCAGTATACGGTAAGGGGCTTCGAAGGCTGTGGTTTCGGAGCGCACTCAGAATGGGTCCGTTTTCTGGATCAAGAGTAACGAAACTTGAGACCTGGTAGCGGCTGCCGGAAGGGTTGGGGTTTGGGTGTCACGGAGGCTAGCCAAGAAGGCGGGACGGGGACCGGGGATTGTGGCCGAGTGGAAGTAGAGGGGGGGGAAACGTGTTTTGTGGTTTCGGGGCAACGGGAGTGGGTGCGCGTGTGCCAGTGTGCGTGCTCGTGGGCAGACCAGCACCGTAGCCCACGCTGCTGCCACCTTGTTACCGCTCCATATCTGCAGCCCCCCTCCCGACTAGACGATCCTCACATGCCGTACACATGCCGTACACAGGACGCGTCCATGGGCGGCAGTGCTGCTCGTGGAGACACCTCCTCCCCGGGAACATCCACCGCCCGCGATCGCAACCACCACAACCACCACAACAACAATAACAACAACCACCCAGGCGTTGAGACGGCCTACCTGAACAGCAGCGATGAAGTCGCACCTGTTGCACCGTTTTTGGAGGGCTTGCCTTGCAGCCCGGGGGCAACAGCAGCGGCAGCGGCGGCCGCGGTTATCGATGCTCGGGAGGTTCGGGCTCGACGGGCCCTCCTCCGTAACGCTATGGAGGTCGCGATGATGCGGACCATTAGCCACGTAAACATTGTACAGGTTCGTGAGAGCGTATTACGGGAACATGCTATGTGTCGTACATGTATGTGCGTGTCGTATATGTGTCGTGGAACACTGGTACGGGGCGGTAGATATGGAAGACGTGGGGAAGTGGCGATGGAAGGGGAGGCCAGTTACGCCAGAGGTTTAGGAGTCCGTTGAAGGTGGCAGAAGTGAAGGGTATATCCGTTATGACGGACTGGACAATAAATAAATGCTGATGGTGCCGTACAGGCCTTTGGCGTGTACGACAATGTGATTATGGAGCGTCACGAGGGCCGTCAGGGCATCATCAGCCTTCGCCGGATCAACCAGAAGGACGCCAACGACCAGAAGGTGCCGGACGCAACAAACCCAGGTAAGGCATGAGGGTGAGGTTCGTTGGTTTCGGTTTTAGTCGTTGGGTTTCGGTATCGGTTGGAGCCTGGGGCCTCGAGCGGCAGCAAGGCGGCTGGGTGGCTGCGGGAGCTGGACTTTATGGGTTTTGACACCTCGCATCTTGACAGACATACAGACATCTATGCATATATACAGACATATATACAGACATACAGACAGACATTTGTACAGACATTTATACAGACAGACAGGTCTCTGTTGACCAAAATGTTAGGTCCCCGGTCAGGTGAAAACGGTGTAACACACACCTACGACTACATACCTCACCTACCCGGCATACCGCAGGCATGATGCGGAGCTCGCCCATTTGTACGGCAATCGTACTGGAGCTGTGCGATCGGGGCTCTCTGGCGGATGTGCTCCATAACCGCAGCTTTCCCGCGCTGACCCTCCCGCCACCCCACCCTTCGATATCGCCGGCTGCTACCGCGGGGGCGGCCATGCAGTACGCGCGATACTGGAAGGTGCGGGCCTGGAAGGTTGGGAGTACTAGGGGTATGTATATGATTAATATAAGATATGTATATGACTAAATAAAAAGGCAAAAAACTGTTTAGCTGGGCAGCCGCCTGCCTCTGGATGTCGCTTGCCGAGTTTTTTGTTAATTGCACCGTGCATATGCACCATATATGCACGTTCCGACGTCAGCGTGTGTGTTTTGCCGTACAGGGCGTGTACATGACGCTGCTGGAGATTGCGCTGGCGCTGCGGCACCTGCACTCCCGGAGGCTCATACACCGAGGTAAGAGTACTGTACGACACGATACGATACGACGTACACGTGCCTGGTGACGATGTAACTTTACGTGCCGGGCTTTCCGTTCCCAAAGAGTACGGCTTTGACTTCCCGGGGATCTACTCTCTCCGCCGGATCGTGTGTGTTTTGTTTTCCCGTACTTGTGCGTGCAACCCTATGGGTTATTAGCCATGTGGCCCCCCTCCTGTTCCTCCCTACGTATCCCTGGTACCGGCTTCGCTCTCCTCTGTTCTTCATTAAACGCAACCCGTCAACAATATTCCTCAGATCTGAAACCCGGCAACATCCTGCTCAAGTCCAGTCCGGGTGACCCGAGGGGCTGGACGTGCAAGTTGGCGGACTTTGGGTTCGCACTTGTGCTGGATCAGCTGGACCAATTGGTGGGTTTTAGCGGGTTTTAATGCGCCTTTCATTGTCTCATTTGTTTGGGAGTAATAATGAGCTGTGTTCCCATCTGACATACATACTCGTGTGCATATCCATTCACATATACACTTTTCTTCCGTTTCCCTTTCCCCCTTTTTAATGCCGTGGTCCCTTTTGTTGTGATGGGAAATCATGTGTTTGGTAAATCATGTGTTTTCACGCCTTCAGAGCGGGGACGACTCCATACCCTCCCAGCCGCATGGAGGCGGAGGAGGAGGTGGCGGAGGTGGAGGTGGAGGAGGCGGAGGAGGAGGAGGAGGAGGAGGAGGTCAGTGCTCGTCCTCCTCCTCCTTGCACTCGCTACCCACGCCGATGCCGCAGCAGGCGCTGCAACTGCCGTCAACGGTCAACAGCCAACAGTCAACTACCCCCAATGGAATGAATGGAGCTGTCGGTGGAGGCGGAGGGGGAGGCGGAGGGGGAGGTGGAGGTTCTCGGGACTGGTACACGATACAGCAACAAGTTGGGGGAACGTGAGTCCATTTCACCCCTCCCGCCACCCCTGCTTATTGTACACTCTTTCCTTGGCAGCAGCAGCTTCACTCGTTCGTGGTTCGTCCCTTTCCCCCCTTCCCTCCCCCCCCTGTTCACCCCTCAACACCCCTTTCACGCCCTCTGCCCGTCCCTTACAGGGTGACCCACATGGCTCCCGAGGCCTTTCGAAAAGGTAATAACCGAAATAATCAATGATTGATAAATACTTGATATAGTTGATATAGTTGATTGGCTGCTCAATGATAAACAATTAAGATTCTGATAAATAATAAAAAAATTTGAGTATTGCATTGTGATAGTGGTTGCTAGTGAGTACATTACCAGCAACCCATCAAAGGTGGGGACGGAAGGTCCTCGCACGTGCTTACACAGACGCACAATACGGAAGTCCACACGTTTTACAACCGCCCACGCTTCCTTGACACATTTTTACAGCATGAAGCTAAAAGACAAGAAACCTCGCCTGCTTTTCCCGTCCTTCCAAACAACAGCCACCCCAAAGGCTGCCGTAACCCCCTCCCGCCCTCCCGCCCTTTCTCCCCACTTCCCCACCTTTCCCCTTCTCTTCCCCCGTCCATTTCAACTCCTCAGTTAACCCTCGATGTGGTGGTTTCTTCCCCCTTCCCCTTGTCTCTTCAGATTTAATTTCAAATATATTTCCCTCCGCCCCCGACACGCGCGTGGGTTCGTCTTCCCCCCCCTAACATGCTCGTGTCGCTTATGGGGGCCTCTTCCTCTTGACAGGCTCCCGAATCGACGCCTCCGTGGACGTGTTTAGCTTTGGCATCATCATGTGGGAGGTGGTGTGTGGTCGGGGACATAGGCCCTTCAAGGATCTGCCACTGGACGCAATCGGGCCAGCTGTCACCGGCGGCACAAGGCCCATGTTCCCGTCGGGAGATAATGTACCGCTGCCGTACAGGTACGATGAAGTGATGTACGTGCATACGTACTTGTGTGTGTCTAATGTGCGGTTAGGTTTGTACGTGGGCTTAGTGCAAAGTGTGTGGCGGCTATGGGGAAAAGAGGGGTATTTATTATGTATGTATGTATGTATGTATGTATGTATGTATGTATGTATGTATGTATGTATGTATGTATGTATGTATGTATGTATGTATGTATGTATGTATGTATGTATGTATGTGTGTAGCCATTATTCCTAACGCTCACTCTCTCTCTCTCATTCCCTCATCCTCACTCTCTATCACTTCCTCATCCTCACCCTCTCCGTGCCTCTTACTTACACCACTGCAGGCAGTTGGCTCGATCGTGTTGGTCAGCCGACCCACGGGCCAGACCCGGTGCTTCGGAGCTGGTTGCGGTCATCAAGGGGCTGTTGGAGTCCGTGAGGGCGTGAACAGCCTGGGCACTGGGACTGAGAGCGAGTGAGTGACGTGAGTGACGTAACCAGCAGCCGGCAAGGCGTGATGGCAACGTACGTACGTATGTATGTATGTATGTATATGTATGTCGTTACAGGGTGGTATAGCTTCACCAGCGGCCCCCTTTCCCGAGGCAGTTCTCTGCTCTCCCCTGCGAGAGGGGCACCCTGATCCGTTCACCTCATCGGACTTCAGAATGTATTCGTTGGGTTCAGCAACTCACCACCGGCATCCAACCAAATCTAGCGGATCAACGACGCCACAACTTAGTTTCTGGTCAGCTCGCGAGTCGATATAATCACGTCCTTCACCGTCCACAAGATGGGGTGCCACCTCCCAATTCAACGCCCCTCGCACACTGAGAGGTCGGCAGGCGGATTTGGACCCGGAACTTCCGGGAACAGAAGTCAGGCCTTAACTTCCGCCAGCCACCTGCCTAATATGTATGTATGTATGTATGTCGAGTGGCGTAGTACCACGGCATATTCCCCAGGACGGTGCCGTACCGACTGTACGGCACATCCATGGCCGCACGGCCCCGCGACCGTGTGGCTGTCGTTTCTCCCGGAATTTATCTTATGTTGTTGTATTGTCACTACCTGGTCTTTTGACCTTGCCCTGCACCCTCCGCGGCAGCTTACCTTCGCGGCAGCAGCGTTGCTTGTGGCTTCTAGGAGTGTATGTTTGTATGTTTGTATGTGTATGCGTGTGTTCTGTTGGCACCGGCGGTGGTTATAGCTCTTAACGTGCACACACGCGCGCGCACACTCCTGGCGGAAAACTGTCGCTGTCCTTTGTTGTCATTCATCCCTGGTTGTCGAGAAGAACATGGCGGGGGGGAGGTGGGGGGGGAGGTGGGGGGAGGTGGGGGGGGGAGGTGAGGGGGGGAGGTGAGGGGGGGAGGTGGGGGGAAAGGTCGCCAGTGCAGTGCGACGTGCAGCACAGGGTCTTCTGGACCCGTAGCAAAGTTCAATGCACGCACATACACATATATACATATACAGACACACGCAAAATATACACCTTACACGCACACACACGCACACAACTCATGCACACACACACACACGCACAGATGCAGGTATATGGCCAACGGAGGGCGCACAGTCATGTGGGAGAGGGAAATAGGGGCACAGCCAAAAGGGTCGGTCGCTTAAGGGTGGCTATTGCTGCTGCTGTTGTCTGCTGTACCTCACCCCACACCCTGTCGTCGAACGGCATTATGGCACTGGCACTGCATGGCGCGGGGTCGAACGGTCTCTGCTGCCGGAGACAGACAATTCACGGCGGCCTCGGCTGGTTGGAACATGGTCGGGGGCCCCGTCCTGGCTTGTTGGCTTGTTGGCTTTATCCGTTGAAGCGAAGTGCGCCCTGATTTGGAGGTGAAGAGGAAGAATTGAGGATAAAAAGAATGTCTGTGTCTGTGTGTGTGTGTGAGCGGATGAAGGTGACATGTGGGGGAGAGGAAGAGGGAGGAGCTAAGGGGCGGAAAAAGAGCGCGAACGCGAGCGCGAGCGCGAACGCGAGCGCGAGCGCGAGCGCGAGCGCGAGCGCGCACAAGCGAACGATAGAAAGGGAAGAAAAGGGGGGAGAGGAATGCATGCATGCGGATGCACCCGCACTCGCACCCGCACCAACAGACAACAACAATATGGTTGCGGTGACTGCACAGCGCGGGCGCCGGGCGAACTGAGTCTCCGTTTGGCGTTTGGGGAGTGTACTGTGGAGTCGAGATTGTTGATTATGTATGTATATTTGTATTCGGAAAAGTAGGACCTCCTCTGCTTTTTTCGGGACAAGAAATCCCTTTTCTGTCCGCGGCATCAGCATTTACTTGGCGACTCGAAGGTGGTTGGCGGGAGCTGGGACCTGACCCGTGGCTGGCTGGCGATAGCTGATATGATTTGATTTAATGGAACATCATGGTCCGTGGCCGCTTTACAGCTTGTGTGACTGTCCACCGTGTTGATGGTGTTGTTGTTGCTGTTGATGACGCGGGTGTGTGATTACACCGCTATTGTGTGGGCAAAGCTCGTCCTGGGGTAGGACGACTAGCACCAGGGAGGGCCCCGACTGGGGGGCTGAAACACAGCACAGTAGCAGCGCAGGGGGGCGGCCGCGCGGCGGCTCTACGTCCGTCTGCTCCTCCGCGCGCGCCTCACTCCCTCACTCCCTCACTCACGCCATTGCCGGGGCGCTCTCCCAGCCCCTGGCTAGTCAACAGCACAGCGGCGCAGCTGTTGTTGTTGTTGTTATTTGTTGCCGCTACTCGAAATGCTGCCTCTGTTACTGTTACTGTGTTGTGTTGTGACTGTGGGTATGTGTGGAAAAATGGTGTCAGCGGTTACAATCGGGGGTTGCTTTGAAGCCGCCGGAGGACGATGCCCGGTACTGGAAACGTGAATATGTTCCGACGCCAACTCTTTACTTGCTCACTCACAACAACCTGTGAAAAACCGGATAAAGAGATGGTGAGGTGGTAATATTGCGGTAGTTGATGCTACAGAACACGGAGAAAAGCAAAAAGTTGAGATAAATTATTATATATGCACGCGACCTGTGACAGGGCTTCGGTGCTTTCGCCGCTAATATGCCCAATAAGACGACGTTTTAGGTTTGATTGCGCGGCTGCGCGGTGACAAGAAATAAAGCAGTGACATACAAGATGGGTTACTGTACGGCCGCGACATTCTTCTGCGAGACCCATCGGCTCATTGGCTGCTTTGGTGGCTCCTGCGTGAAAATCCACTAGTGGATAGTGTGACTGGATGGTGCGTTGAGGACTTGGTGTTCAATTTTGGAAATTGCGTGTTGATGGGGATAGTGCAGATGGACGGATTCGATATGTGTTTCGTATTTTATATAGCTTACTATTTCGTTTCACTTTGTGTGCGACATGGCTATACTTTGTTGTACACCTTGCAGGTGTCGAAAGGGGGGAATGCCTCCTCCTAATCCTCGTAATGTTATAATCATTTGCTGTTGGTGTTGGTTGGGTTTTGGGTCGATTGCTCGTATACGGCGGATACACTGCCGGTACGGTACGGCAAATTGTGGAGGGGAATGTTTGGCGGCATTAGAAGCTGATTCACTGCACGGTGGGCACGGTGGTCATGTACATGCCGTACTTCTCTGTACTGCGTCGTGCTTAGCTGTAAAGTACGGACTGCCCTTTAGGCCGTCAAGGAGTGTGTGGGGGCGGGCGATGTGGTCATGTGCCGTGTCATGTTTGTTGAGCCCGCGGGGCCCCTTGGCGAGGTCCCTTGTTAGGGAGGTCCGTTTGTCCGTCCCTTTGTTGTGTTTGGGGGTGATGGGGGAAAATATCGGCGTGGTGTGCTCGCAGCTCACGGACATTAGAATGCGCTAGGTCAGCTCCCTGTCCTGCGGCGCTGTTGGTTGGCTGCTTTGACATTTTATGATTACTCACGCATGCGTCAAATACTTTTCATGGTGCAGGTGGCAAAAAAATGTCCTCTGGCTTTAATTGATTAGAGCAACATTTTCGTTGCGCATTTTGTGTGTTTCTTTTTTAGATTCGCGGAAGTCGGCAGGGAGAGGCTGCTTGCAAGGCCAGCTGCTGGCCGGCTGTATAACGGCGTAATGTAACGCCTGAGACGTCCTCGTTGTGCGAAAAATGTGCGAAATAGTCTTTACCCGGTAGGCTATCTCCATGGCGCCTTTCCAGCAACACGTACGGTAATACCGGGAAAGACTTTTTAAAGACAAGTAAACTAACAACTTGATGATGTTGCTTCCGTGCTGGAACGTTTGTTGACCTCTGAAAACGCGATCGGTAGCGCGAAGTAACAAAAAACCGGGGCTCGCGGGGTTCAGAGTGGATTCGATGGTGTCCAGTTGCGAAATCTATACGGCAAGGAGGGGGAGCTGACAAATTACAGTTTCTGCAACTTGCATAACATTGCAAAGGACTAAGACTTAGAGGTTTATATTTACTAGGTAAATACTCCGAGCATCGATGGTAATCCGAGCATTGCCACGTCACTTTCGCAAAAGCACTTGCATAAGTTCCTCTGGATTGAGCAAAGAGTAAACCAAATTACATAGATTCTGTTAGAGCCCCACCACAGCTACAGTTCTTGAACTTAGTATTTGTTTTCAACTACCACTTCAAACTTGCCAGCTGCTTGGCCTTGAACTCCGCAACCCAGTTGACCAGTCTGACCGTGCGCTAACTGGGGCTTCAAGTTTTGCTTGCTAAAATGTCAAAGCGGGGAGCAGGCGAGCGGGACTTCACGCCAGCGCAAGGAAACATGCGAAAGGCGCGTGTAGAAGTTCGCCGAGGTGCGAGGGCTGGCTGAAATGCCCTGGTTATCTGATTGCTGTCTGTAGGTATTTGGGGTCACGGTGTCAGGAAAACTGTACTGAGTTTTTGCTGCGCGAAATCGTGGGGCCTTCCCATTACCGTAGCTCCGTGCACCGCAAGCTTACAGCCGTGCTTCTGTATCTTTTTGCTATGCAGCCGATGCTTTCCAGGTCCTCATGGCTGCAGCTCGGGCTAGGAACAGCGCCGCTCAGCAGCAGGCCACAGGTGAGTAACCTCGTCGCAGCAACCCGTTGCAGCGCACGTGCACGTTCACACTAACGGCATTGCGCTCGCCCCATATGAACCTTTTCGCACCTTTTTGCAAGATCCTGCTTGCTGCCTTCTGCACCGGTCAAGCTCATGGCCTCTACGGACGGCTGCAGTAAAAGAAAAGCCCTCTTAAAGCCCCATCTTCTGCTGTCCCCCATCTTGCGCTACGCTCCGGCCTACAATGTGTGTTCATCGTATCTACTCCCCCTTGCCGCATTCCTCATCGTCGTCAAAAAAGATTATTAAGCACAGACAAGCAACAACTGACTCAGCACCAGTAGTGCAAGGGCACCTTACGCACGACAACCTTTCACAGCCTGCGGCTTCCCAAACCCATGTCGCCTACCCTTCCACATTAATCTCACTCCACACGTTCAATCCCTCACCTGCCCGCAGCTGTGGCAGCCGCGACGGCGGCCGGTGCTGCCGCCGGGGCAGCTGCGGCCCCCGGCGCCCCGCTTCAGTCCGCCGGACTGGCAAACCCTGGCATTCCCCCGACCACCACCACCATCTCCCCTTCGGCTCCCTGCACGCACTGCGGCACCGTGCTGCCAGTGTCTGCAAACAGCTGCTCGTTGCGGCAGTGTTGTGCATGTCTTGACGTGTTTTGCTCCCTCTGCTCAGTGCTGGATTACGAGGAAAGGGAGGACCGGGTCTTCTGCCTGGGCTGCCTGGAAGATCAGGTTGGTCAGCTGCCTGGCTGGGGCCCTCATGGACTGCGACTCACCTGAGACTACGTCGGGATTTGCCCTGGTCCAAATTCTTCTGATCCTTAGATTTGGTTGGCTTGGGGGTTTGGAAACTGGGGTGCGTTGTGGGAGAGTAAAATCGTGGCTCCATGCCCCCTCCCAATCAACAGCCTTTAGTGGCTTTTTTTTCCGATATCCTTCACACGACGATAAAGCCCAACGCGCTTACCGCTCACCTTACTCCTGTCTCGGCTCCTCTTTCCTTTCCTGCAAACCCCACCGCAATACGTGCGGGTTGCCGTGTGCGCAGGCCGCAACATCCCGAGGAACCAACCCCCGAGGCAGCTTCAGGGCAGCTTCTGGGGGGGGTCCCTCAAGCAGTAATGGTTACGTCGCCACCGTCAGCCTCTCCTTGAGCCTCTCCCTTCCCTTGGGCGGACCCACGGGTCGCTGGGGCCAACTGGACATGCTGGGCGGCGTTGGACGCCCCGCACGCAGTCCCTTACCCTGCAGCCGTACACCGCAGCAAGGCCACACAACAGACGGCAGCAGCCAAGCACCGGGGAGTGCTTTTTACAATCCCCGTAGTCAGCAATCCACCGGGGGTCACCGGGGGTTCTCAGCACTGCTAGGGTATGCCGGGGCAGAGTGCTGAAGGTCCTCAAAGCCCCAGGTAACACGTTTGAAACGTTTCACCTGGGGGATGTGCTACCGCACATTACTGCGCAACACGGCCAACGGAGGATGTCGAACACCCTGCCAGGGGAATTCTGTATTGGGGCTGCGGCATTCGAGTTGGAAGTTGCCATCGTCAGGAAGTGATGAAGTGAAAAAGACAAAACGTGAAGAACTGGCGGCTTCTGCAAGAGCGAGAATTGGGTTTCCATCCCTCAGGTCATTTGGGTCCCGCTTTTTCGCAGTGCAGCGGCTTATCTTCTGATTGTGAAGAGCTTGCGGCCAAAACCTTGGGTGTGTTGTGTTGTTTTCCTTTCTCTTTGTCTACTGCCACAATTTGTTGTGTGGGGAGGGGGGAGGCAAGGCGGGAAACGCAGGCCGGAGGTCTATCTCTGGGTCTGTAAGCGCTGCTGGTCTTCTGACCCTTCGTCTTATGTTCAGATTTCCCGGATTTTGTTCCGTACATTCTAGAAAGACGGGCGCCGTTGTGAGCAGCAAGCTTTGTGGGAACCAGCATCAGCAGCTGCGGCAGCAGCAACATACGATTGCATTTGGCTGCGTTGGAAAGTTGTCGTGGGGAGAGCTGCTGGAAGCCCGTCTGTTTATTTGCGGTCTGTTTCCCCCCATTCCATTGAGAGCGTGGGCGTTGGTTGGTCTGAACTTCGCCGCGCGTACATGCGTTGTAAGTGGGAATGTCTATTGACGGGGCTATGCTGTAATGGAGATGGTGCAGCGTGTTGTGTTTGTCGACGAGGTTATGGGTAGCAGCGCCGGGGAGCGTGGTGAGCGCAGTCGCAAGGGAGTGTGGACATCGCAGGGTGTGTGGGTGAGGCTGAAAGTAGCGGTGGCTATCGCCCTGTTCTCCGCTTCCAATTGCCTACGGGCTACGGGCATGCAGGTTTTAGCAATGTGGCTTCGTTGCGGGATGCATCCTCATTTTAAAAGGGGATTAGGAATTTGTATTATGAAAGGTATTCCGGCATCGAAGCGGCTAAACTGCTGAAGCAGATCCCCACAACAAGAGAAAAGGGGACGCCGGAGGGGCGTCGCAGGGGAGCGGAGGGAGGAGGGACACAAAGCTGTTTGGCAGACCAACGTGACTCACACGAAGGGCGGGCGCTGTTCGGTTTGTTTAATCGGGATCCTCCAAAGAAGAAATGCGGCGAATTTGCGGACCAGGGGCTGACTGAGGGATATGGATTGGTGGTGAGTGTTGTCGCAACGGATATATTGGGTGAACCGAGGGCGGGAGGCAGGGATGCAGCCTTACTAGCAGACACTTAACGAGGGGCCAGGTGATGAGCCGCCGCTTTCTGGGCTGGAAAAGGTCCACTGCATGGCCCGGGGGGGGGTTCTGGAGCGCGTGCAGACAGCTGTCTCGTACACCAATACAACTACACCGGCGCGGCCACCACAGCAGGTCCTTGGCGACGGTATTGGTTTTGGGGTGCCGAACGCGCATGAGCGGGGACTGATCACCGAGGGAACATGCCATCACAACTTTGGTGAAATAGCTTGCAACTGGAAAGGCCTCTCGCTTGAGACGCTGGCACAGCGCGGTGGCGCGTCTTTGAGATCTTGCTTCTTTGGTTTGTGCCGTCGCAACGCAGCCATCCAGGGTCCTGCAGCCAATGTGGTCAGAGCGGCCCATAAATACGCAGGGCGATTCAGGCAAGTGACAAAGTTGGAAAGCACCGTGTTTCCCATGTGTTTTTGAACTCACCACACGTTAAACTTGTTTCTACATACCTGGGCCAGAGGAAAAGGTCACATCGTCTCCCCCATTTAACCTGTGCTTCTCCCCCCCCAGTCAAAACAGTGAATTCAAACTCACCAAAGCGGCAGTCCGCGACTGCCCTGGTCGCTGCCACCCTGGCGCCCCGTAACCACCACCACCAGCCAGCGGAGTGACTAAAGTCATGCGAGACTCGCGTGCACGTGTGTGCAAACAGAATCAGACAGACATGACGGCGGATGGGGCCCAGCGTCCATCATCATTTAGATTCTCAATCCAACAGCGTTAGGTTCAAAACTGCACCAGTTGTGTCATTCTCTCCAAAACAAACAACGACTGAAGGATAGACAATAGTCCGAAAGCCGCAGATGGCTGGAGCACCCTCGAGAAGAAGAAAAAACCGCAAGACGCAGCAGATACAAGGGCGTCCGTGCTTTGGATCCACTGCAAAGCCGACTCTTCCGACTCCTGGTAAACCGGCCACAGCAGCACTGCTTTTGCTCACCAGCCAAGTACGATCTGCGTACGATATCACCGTACAAAATCCACTCTAGTTGTCTTTCACTCGGCTCCGATGCGCATTCTACGCCAAGAAAACTTTCTACTGCAACAAAATTTGCAGATAACTCCAATCTTTAATAAAGGAAAGCGGTTTAACTGCAGGAAAACTACATTTACCCATCCGTCCTCCATCGTGACCAGGACCATGCAAAAACTTCGCCAGTACGTGTTCTGTACGACGTCGCAATTTCCCGTACAATGGATCTCGTACTCACTGGGGAAGAAAGCAAAAAGCCGCTGGGGAAAGATGCTTGGGAGAGGCACCGCAGCCTCGGTGGCATAAGCGACATAATGAGGCGACGAGTAAACAGCAGCATCATGGCCATTCAACCAGCCCAAGTCCCGGGTCGGGCTGTGTGACGGCGGAGGGCCAGACACGCCATCATCGCATCCGCGCCGCCGGTGCCCTCATCTCCATGCCCTTCCCCCCGGACCAAGGTCAACCCTGCGCCGTACATTCTCCATGCCGCTCAAAGCGCCAACAACTACCAATTGACACAACTGCCAAACCGCAACACCATCTGTGCAGCGACGACGCAAAAAAAACAATAGGGCAGTCAGTCACGTGGACGTAGACGCGCCTACCTATCACCACCACCACCACTACGATGACGACGGACTGTGAGGGTGTACAACATGGTCGACACATGGCGTACATCCTACCATTAGGTGCCGTATAGTGTACGGCATACGAGCACCAAAGCAGAGCAAAACAACTACCAAGAAATTCAGTTAATGCCCCAGGCGACTTGCACCGCCACACGGTAACCGGAACGCACATCACAATAAGAAGACAAGCGTTATATTTTTGGAGCGGGGAAAGACATACGCGCTAAAGAACTAAAGCACTCAGGTTTGTATAGTGCACAAATGGAGCGATAAAGACAGTTCCCGTAGGCCTTGTCGAAATGGCCGGGCTTTAACGGTAACGGCAAACAGCTACGGAGCAACACACACCTCCGCGAGATGGCTCTTGACAGCTCTCAACTCTCCTCCCCACTTCAATTTGCAATAAAGCCTTTGTCGCCACTGCAGCCTTCCATAATAGCGCAGGTGTTGATAACTACCAACTACTCACACCGACCTGACGGACAGACACCAAAACTCAATATCCCCCAAATATATATCCCCCAAAATTACACTAACCCAGCTCCTCACGAGGTCCCACACCTCCACGCTCGTGCTGTCTACACCCCCCTTACACACGCCGTTCCGCGAATCCGCCTCCCTAGATATTTGCCACCTACACACTGAAAAACCAACAACCCACAAAAGCCCAATCAGCATCAGCATGGGGCCCAGAGGGCCCCAAATCCGAAGACGAATTGTGTCCAGCCCGGTGTATTAGTCGTATTCGTTACGCTCCCAAGCACTTCCTTCGCCCCCGCCGTGCCCACCCCCTACACTACGCAACACTACGCAGAACAACAAGGTACCGAGAACGACATCTCTTCCTCCCCCAGTTTTCATCCCCTGTCTCCTATCCTATCCTCACGAATGGGGCGTGCACGGAAGGATGTTGCTGCATGACGGACGCGACTCCGAAGACGCACAGGCCCAATCTGCCAACCCACTGCTCCAATCTGGCCCCCAGCCGGCACTTCCCAGTCCCTCCCCCCCCTCTCTGCCCCCTGCCCCCCCCCTCTGAGGGCCCACGGGCTGTGATCGCGGCCCTAGCCAAGCAAGTGCTCCTCTCTCTCTCTCGTCTCCCTCCCTCAGTTTCCCTCTCTCGCCACTCCTTAAGAAAAGCACTCCCTCAGGAAAGTGCATGTCTGTATGTCCGCCTCTGTCTGTCTGTCTGTCTGTCTGTGCGCCATGTGGTTTACTTGGGGCGCCTGCCCGGGTCTTCTTACTCCTCCTCTTCCTCCTCCTCCTCCTGCCCGGGTTCCGCCGCACAATGCACCCAGCCAACTCCCCGCCCGCGCCGCCTTTTGATACGGCCGTAATGTGTGGCTCTACTGTGTACGACGACCGATCATGTATGTGTGTGTCTGTGTACGGCACTCACGGCGTCCCGTTGTCCCGCTGCCTTCTTCATGTCTCAAATAAAACATGCGCCAGCTTTGATAAGAGCCAGGTCAGGCCCGAACCTGTGAAGGTCAGAGCAGCAACGAGGGCATGTACGACATGACGAGCCACAACCCATTTTGGTCGCAGCAAGAGTCACAGGTGCGATACTAGAGTTCGTGCTCCACAACCCCACACAACGAGCCAGCGCAGCACGGGCTGGTCTACATGGCTATTAGCGTAGCGTAGAGTACGACAGCGCAAACGGCGCACGCGCGTATGTACATACATAATGTGCGTGTGTGTGTGTGTGTGTGTGTGTGTTTGGATATCTGTACACTCGTGTATGGATGAAACTTCGTGACGATCAGACGAAAATGGGGGCCGGGAAAGAGGGGCCGGGGTCCTTGGTGATCCAGAGATCAGAGCGGCGGCCGTATGCAGCGGGGAGATGTGTGCCTGTGTGCCTGTGTGCGTGTGTAGGAGGGGGGAAGAAGAGTGAACGCATCATGCGTTCACGTTGCAAGAAGAACCAAAGACATCCAAAACGATGTGTGTGCGTGTGTGTCAGGATTGAGGGCGGGTATTGAGGTCTCTGAGTGGAGTTGTGTCTCTGAGATGAGCTACGAGGCAACTGGGCTGGGCACACACACACAACAAACCCTCGCTGCATGCGTCCTTGGTAACGTTCCGACATGCGTCCTTGGGGCCCGGTGGCATCGTGGTCGTATCCATCCAACCTCAAGCCAGGCGATCGAGCCCCAGGAACAACATGTCGGACAACATGCCGGACAAAAAGGTCCCCACTTCCAAACACCTCTGGAGTGGGGAACGAAGAACGGACAAGCCTAGACCAGCCTAGCCTAGACCAGACTGGCCAGCAGCAGCAGCAAAGGGATAACAAAAGCCGCGTTGAAACATACAAACACACAGACATACATATATACACAGCACAACCCGAGAGCTCCCAGGCCCCGGGGGGGGGGGGAGGCCCCCCCCGCCGCTCCGGTGCCACTCCGCGGCCGCCACCCGCCGAGGCACCCACAGCCGGATTTCCGGTCCTCCACCTTTAGGGCTTTACGGAGGCAGAGCTTCCGCTGCTGCTAACACCGCCGCCAGAGGCCGCCGCTAGTACGACGGGTTGCGCCGACGCCCGGGCGGCAGCAGCACCGGGGACTGCTGCGTTACCGGAAGGAGCGCCGCCGCTGCTGCTGCTGCTGCTGCTCGTCGCTACGGTGGTGTTCACTGTCCCGGCTGAGCTTCCTGCCGACGGGGGCAGCGGCGGCGCCGACGGCGACGGGGGTTGGGTGACGTCCAAGTCGTCAAAGCTGGCCAGGATGACCATGCTGCCGCCGCTACTGCCGCCGCCGCCACCGCCTGCACTGCTGCTGCCGCTTCTGCTGCTGCTGCTACTACTGGCGACGGTAACAACGCTGTCTTCCTCTTCCGCATCGCTTTCCTCTACGTCCAGGGTCATAACGAAGTCCGCGGCGGTGACACTGTCCCGCCGTACTGCGCTGGCAGCGGCGGGGGCTGTAGCAGCGGCAGCCGAGGCAGCGGCTGTAGCAGGTTGTGATGCAGCCGAGGCAGAGGCGGTAGCGGGCGATGGCTGGGTCGGTTTCGGCGGGGTGCTGAAGCGGGTGACGACCGTGGCGACGGTTCCGGAGCCAACCCCAGTGCCCGGGGCTGACGTGTCAACCAGCTGTACGACAACGGCGGGTGGCGAGGAGCTACCACCACTGCCAATTTGGCCAGCAGCGGCAGCACCACCACCACTACCGCTACTGCCGGCAGCTGCGCCACCAGCGCCGCCGCTGGGCATAACAATAGCACCTGCAGCTACGGCAGTTGCTGCGGCACCAGCACCACCGCTCCCACCAACGGTGCCAACCAACCCTCCAACCGCTCCAACCGACTCACCGGAAGCGGCTTTCTCACCTTCCCCTGCATACATAGTACGGCAGGTTAGCGAAAGCGATTGATTTGATATTAGTGAAATGGAAATTTGACGGCGGGCATGTGCAGAGTGAGAGGCAAGCAGACGCAAAACCCTACATGACCCACGGGTCAGATAGTCACCACACCATAAACCGGTGCATCGCAAACAAAACGTCCCGCCATCGTGGCATCACACCACAGGTCGGGACCTCTCCTTCTCACGGTCTCATTCTCAGTCTCAGTGTCAGATGGGTACGCCAGCCAGCTAGCTAGCTAGCCAGCCAGCCCGGCTGGCCAGCCAGCCAGCCCGGAAACACCATAGAGCTATTTCCAGCCAGTTTGAAGCGACATACATACATACATACATGCATAGATACATACATACATACACATAGTACGCTCTTTGTAACGTACCTTTGGAGGATCCCTGCGCCGGCGGCGCAGCCTGTGCGGTTCCGCCGCCACTGCCGCCGCCGCCGCCGCCGCTAGCAGTCGCTGCCGTCGTTGCATCCGCCGTCACAACCACAGAGCCAGGCGAGCTGCCGCCACCGCCGCCGTTACCGCCGCCGCCGCCACCGATGCTCTTGCCCGGGCTCCCCGGCGGCCCCGCTGCCGTCGCCGCTGCCTTGCCTGACGTAGCCGTCGTACCGCCTGCCCCGCTGGACGGCGAACTCGTCGACGGCACCGCCGTCACCTCAGCCGTAATGGTACGGCCATCTGTGAGGGCCCTCGCAGCCGCGGCAGCGGCATTCCCCGCCGCCTGCTGAACGTCCATGGTGACCTTGGCCGCCGCCATAGCCGCGGCGGCTCCTAGCATGGGCGACAGCGCCTCAACCACCTCGGGCTCCACTTGAACCTACACACCGACCACACAACCCTCAACACAAAACCGAAAAAACAAACCGTTTCACCAGCAATTCTCTCCATTTTCAGGCGATAAAAGACCGGAGGCGGCTTTTGAAACCAACGCACACACGTGGGCCCAGCTCCTACCCTCTCATTCTGTTGGAATGTCTTACCACATTCTTCATATCTATTCCCTAAATCCCTAAATCCCTCCCTAACACCAATCCGTACAGTACTGTACGATACCGTAGCGTACCGTAGTTCTCGGGACCGCCAGTTTGGCCCCGTTGCGCTCCACACAGTCCACAAAGGCCAGCAGCAGGTCCTGCTTCACCGCCATGAAGGACTCGCGGTTCTGAGCCTCTGCGGGGACGTCAACACACAACCGTGGGGGGTGGGAGGGGGGAGAATGCCGTGTATGTGTGACAGTATGTGTCTGTGAAATGCGGGTGCTTCCGAAAAGGAAGGAAGGACAGAGTCGTTTGTGTATAAATACGCATCTACATGAATTGCGCACAAATATGCTTGGGGCTCCCCGTCTGTAAGAGCCTCTGAGGGGGGAAGGGGCCCATGGATATTATATACATACATTTTCATACACGCATATCATATACGGGAAAGGGGAGAGAGGGGGGGATACACACACATACGCACAACATGCGAGAAACAAAACAAGGAAAGGAGTTTTCGGGTTGGGCATAACGGGGCGGAGGAGGGGGGAAGGATGTGATGTGATGAGATGCTATTGCTCTTGGGACCCATAGGAATACTGAGCTGAGGAGGTCTCCTTCATTCCCTCACCTTCCCTCCCCAGCACCTCACTCCCCGCCCCGCCCTCACCAACGTAGCCCCCCGCCCCCCCCCCGCCCTCACCAACGTAGAAGGACACGTATATGCGGCAGTCCTCGTGGGTTAGCTTGTCCAGGAAGATCCGGCGGTGCAGCTTCGTGATGATGCGCTGGTCGTTACGAACGATGCGACGGATGTCCTGGATGATGGTGTTTACCTGGGGGAGGTCACCACCACGCACACGCAGAAACACGCACAATATAGTGACGGAATGGAGTTGTGGGGAGGGGGGGTGATACATCACACGCGGGTAGAGCACCAGGCACACCACCGGACCGTTTTATAGTCCCCCCCCGCCGCCGCGGGAAGATCTTAACTAAAATTCTCAAGTATTTAAAAAACAACCGGAACAACTGGATACAACCGAAATATGTCGATTATATAAGGCAAGCAAAATAATCTCAAGATCAGCAGGCAAACATCAATCAGGAAGTCCGTCCGTCAGGCAAGCATCAGTCCGTCCGTCTGTCTATCTGTCCCTCAGTTCCTCCGTTCGCAATATACCTTGTGCACGTCCTGCACCCGCACGCAGATCATCTCGAAAAACCGCCACTCGCGGTTCTTGCGCGTGATGTTGAGCACTATGTTCTTGGAGAACACGGCATTGGGGATGACGAAGACCTCCCGCTCGTAGGAGCGTATGGTGGTGCGGTACCAGCCAATGTCCAGCACCATGCCCTCCACCACCTTGTTGGAGTGGAAGAAGTGAACCTCATCGCCGACCTCGAACGGGCTCTTGGAGGGGCGTAG